TTTATATGCTTATTAAAATCCACTTCCCGATAAGCTTTTACAGCATTCCAGTATGTTCATTTGTGATTTTTTATACCAGCAAACCTTGATTTTAGATTTATGTACAAATGAACACCACAAAGTCCATGAAAAGCATCTGGGAAACATCTTCTAACAGTGTTGTCAATTGAGTTTTCCCTGTCGGATATGATTGTCAGATTGCTAATAGGATCTATGCAATCTCTAAGATACCCCATAAACCATATCCATGAATCAGAGGTTTCAGATTTACCAACCCCGTAAGCTATTGGCATTATCCCATTGTTAGCATCCATGGCTACTGCTAATAAGTTTACTCCAAGGTATCGACCTTTCAAATGTGCTCCGTCAACTATAATAACTGGGCACATGCAAGTAATAAACGAATGAATCTACAAAATAATATACACAAGAAATATAATCATTTAAATGTGAAATGCATGTAACTAACAAAAATGAGTCAATAAAATTATATTTATTTACTAACCGCAGCACCAATGGCGATAAACAACAACTCAAAATGTCCATCTCTATCTGTTTTGATATGAGTTGCCGACCCAGGATTTTTTAGCTTTAAATTGTGACAATAAGTCGGTATTTGGGCAAACGATGCTTCTGGCGACCCCCTCAACAATTCCAAGGTTTAACATTTGGCTCTCCAAGCTTGAGAATATGAGATACTAATCTTGAACTGAGTATTCATGTCAGTTATAATTTCATGTCCCCGATATACCCTACCATTCAAAAACATTAACTCAGCCAGAAAACCACCCAACACCTTTTTGTTTGCCTGTTTATGGTGAGGAACAACTTGGGTTCTTGAACATGTATGTTTATCAATAAAATTCCTAACTTGAAACATTTCGCAATCTTTTATCCTCTTTGCAATCATACGCCACGTACAATTTTTGTCAATCATACACTTTGTTTTGAAACGATCTTTGCTTGATTTGTTAACTTTTAGTTGATAGTCATCTTCCACACATTTCGTATACAAAGCTATCTTCAAGTCTTCCTTTGTATCAAAACAATCATTTTTCTTGATACGAATAACTTTTATGTAACAATCAACTACTATCTTTACCAACTCTTCTTCCGGTATCTGAAGTAATTATGGCATATTCCAGTTATACTCCCATGGCATTTTATTCTTTTTCTTTTCTTTGGGGACTTTTTCTTCTTCAGGGTTTTATGAATTACAGAATGGATGTTCAACATGTTCATTCACAGTCGTAACTTCCTCCTCATTATCACCAATAACACCTTCCTCGGCAACGGCTGTTTCATCATCAAAATTCGGGTATTGACCAATATCAAAATCATTACACGCAGGGTCTGTTTCTTCTTCTGAAACATCATCAAAATCCGAGTATTGACCAAGATCAAAGTCTGGGTATTGACCAAGATCAAATTTCGAATACTGACTAGTACTAACAATTTTTTCTGTTGGCTCATCATCGTCTAACTAGTCAATACGAAAACCAGAATTTGGTGTTGAAAGTTGATTGGGATTTGGATTAGGGAAAGGTTGTGGGTTTTGAGATTGTGTTTGATATTGTGTTTGGTATTGGAAATGTGGTGAAACAAAATTTTCTTGGTGATGAAATTGTGGTGGAACCATTAAATTTTGAGGTTTATAACAACGTTGTACATTGTGAGCACCATAAACAGGGGTTGAAGCACCTAGTTGATTACTACCCGCTACTGACACAACTTCACTACTTCTAGGTTCAACAATATACAATGTAACATCATCTTGCGAAACACTAATGTAAGCAATGAATCGTTCAACATCTTCATTGTCGGTTAACAAATAAACTTTACCTTTTCTCTGATAAGATAGCCTAAATCCACTTAGAAGCTCTAAATTCAATTTCTTTGCAACACGTAACATTAGAGTTTCATAAGTTAACTTTTTTAATGACAGTTTTAGTTGAAGATTCATGGGTAAAGACATATAATGTAAAACACTATTAACATTCTCTCATGACCCTCCAAAACACAAATATATTCAAACATGATCAACATTAGATGATTTCATTCTACAAATTGTAAATTAATTTACTAAACAAACGAGCTATAAACTAGATATCATCAATAACTTAGAGAAAAACATACCTTTATTAAGTTGATAGTTGATAATTTAGGAGAGAAATCATTGGAGAAAAATTATATAGAAATAAAATTATGTAAAAAAAATTAGAGATGGGGAAGGATGTCGTTGGATATAGGAACAGATATCGCCGGAGAAATTGAGAGATGGAGATGGAATGAGTTGCGATTTAGGGATTTATGTTATGAGTTGTTGTTGCTGCGTAGTTTATATACCCAAAACATTTGTGTTGCGAAAATAAAAGCTGTTGCGAAATTAAAATTCGTGTTACGAATTCAAAAATCGAGTTGCGAAAACAAAATTCGTGTTGCGAATTAAAAAATCTTGTTGCGAAAAGGAAACTTGTGTTGCGAAAAAGAAATTCGCGTTGCGAATTCAGAAATCGAGTTGCGGATTTGAAATTCTGTGTTGCGAATTTGGAAATCGCGTTGCGATTGCAGAAACTGAGTTGAGAATTTGGAAAATCGCGTTGCGGAAAAGAAATTCGAATTGTGAATTTCAAAACTGAGTTGCGAATCTGGGAAATTTGCGTTGCGAATTTGGAAACTGTGTTGCGAAATTGGAGTTCGTGTTGCGAATTTGTTGGTCATTTTCGCAAATCCAAAAAAAGTTAGTTAAAATCGTATATTATAAGGCATTTTCGATCACTGAAGTTATTTTCTCTTTCTTTTATTTGTTAAATTTAAATATATATATATAAGCAATAGACCCAAGGGGCGAGTAGAGACAATCGTCTCCCTTAAATTTCAAATTAGTATATATTTTAGATATTCTTTTTTGTATTTTCAATTGATAATCTTTTTTCTCCCTAGAATTTTATAAGTTCATCAAATCCTAAAATTTTAGAAATTTACCTCTAACACACCTATGCTTATAAACTGTCTCTAATAAAGTTATATAAAATAATCGATTGAACTTAATTAAATTTAAACGAATAATGGGTATGTAATTACTTCCAATAAGAGTTCAATACATTCGGTCTTGGACCCATTTAATGTACCAATAACAAAGTCAAACGAACTAAACTCAATCCTATAAGAGAATATTAAATCTCAAGTACGGTAGATTTCAAAAGAATCTCATGTAATGTATAGGGATGATCATGGATCCATACTTGTTGAATTCTGATTTAATATGATCTTATAAGATCAATTTTTGTTGTTGTTGAAAATTTGGATTCAAGTCAGGTCGAATTCAAGTTTATGATGAAATATCCATGACCTGACCCAATAATTATCCCTTATATATAAGAATATTAATTATAACTCATCTTTCTATATTTTTAGTTAATTTCTTATTTTATCAAATAAAAATGAGTTTTTTATATATGTCGGATTAAGTTGAGTATGAGCCTATAAGATGATTATAAGATAATATTTTATTCATAATCTTTCTTAACCATTAACAACAAACTCTACAAACACAATTATTCAAATTTAAGATCTCATAAAAATATCACTTATTTTAACCATGAAATTCATTCAATAGATTCGCGAAAAAATATTTTTTTTATAAAACGTGAGAATTACGTATTTAATATGTCAATGCAATTTTACTATAAAAAATGATTTAAAAAGTAACTAGAAAAACAGTCCAAACAACTCAACTGCTCACTCATTGCATTTTGACTACGCTATTATATCCCACCTTTTATCACACCTTGACAACTCAAATTAAAGTTTCAAATTTTGCTGTAATTTCCAAATTTCTCTTTTTTCCAAATTTTTTCCTTTTTCACAAAAACAAATCTTTTGTCTACATGCAAGAGCAACAACAAAGTAATGGTTTATAATCAAATCATCACAGAAGCTCTGCAAATTGTTTATATTTATCAATGACATCTAAATATAGTTTTGTTTGTTTGGTCCCTTGAAGAAGAAGAACCAAATTACTCTGTCAGATATTTAATGGGAATTGCAGATTCTGTGCCAGTAGTCTTTTAGAGGTGATGGACCAATCATCCATTTCCTGCAACTTTCTGCATAATTTCTCTGTCTACCCTTTGTAAAATTTTCAAAAATCGTGTCTTTTTTTATCGAGCTTTCCACCCTTTTAAACCTGTTTTTGTATTCTTCCATAATTTCTTTTTTTTTTCTTTTCTGATTTCTAAAAGGATAGATTCTTATGTTTTGGTTGGTTAAAAAGTTCACCGCTGGAATGTAAGAGTTCTATTAATTTTAGAGGTTAAAGTGTCAGTATCACGATGGTGCCATTACTACGACATGCAGGAAGTCTTTACCTTTTTATGACGTTTTCTACTGTTTTGTGAAGAAATTTTTAGATTTAAATAGTGAGACAATATATAAGCTGATGTGAGTTTTCCTTGTTCTGATTTTGTTGAGAATTGAAAATCTTGAATTTCTGAGTTTCTTCAGGTTGTGTCAGTGAATGAATATATATATATATATAATATATATATATAATATATATATATATATATATATATATAACATTTTCTGTTTGATTTTCACTTCTGGTGCTGAATTGAAGAGATTTTTTTGGATTCACTCAGCTGTTTTCAGTCAATTGCTATATAATTTATGGTAATTTTTATTTTTGAATGATTCGTTGAACTGAAGAAATTGCTGTAAAAATCTGTTGTTTTTGCTGCAGTTTTTTGGGCCTGTGCTGTTAGAGCTGTTGTTATCAAGTAAACTTTTGATTTACAGAAAATTTTTGTTTGGAAACTTGAGAGTTTCTGGGGTTCTCCTTATAATTTGTTTTTTTGCATTGTCACTTTCATAAATTTCGCAATCGAAAACCCTAATAATGTTATTGTTGAATTCACATAGCACTAATTTCTGGTTTAGAGATATTTCTTTTTTATCTAATACTTTGTTGCCCTTTCATTCATCAATAGGTCAGCAATTCAGGGAGAAAAAAAACTCCAATTTTTCAATCCCCTGAGCAACAAAATTTGTTGAATTCTTCACATGCTCTTCTGGGATTTTCTGAGTATTCGTTGGACTTCGATCTCGGATTAAGCTTTCATTTGCTTCTTTTTTTCTGGGTATTTTTTGTTCTATGTTCTTGCATCTCTGCTGTTTTTGAAAATCTGCGGTTTTGGAGATGAATTACAGGATATTGTAGTTTGGACATTTAGTGAATTCAATGCTTGCTTCCGGCAGGTAAAATTCGGGATACCCGTTTTCGACGAGCTTAGATGAGTGTGGATGAAGCCGGTAGCAGCTCCGAGTGGACTAGGGAGCAAGACAAGGCATTTGAGAATGCCCTTGCAACTTATCCCGAGGACTCTTCAGATCGGTGGGAAAAAATTGCAGCCGATGTACCCGGAAAAACTTTGGAAGAGATTAAAGAACACTATAAGCTTCTAGAGGATGACATTAATGCGATCGAATCAGGCTGTGTGCCTCTTCCGCCGTATAATTCTACCGTGAGTTCTGCAGGCCATGCTGGTGATGAAGGAGCCAGTAAGAAGGGAACCAGCCATGCAGGACATTTTAACAGTGAGTCAAATCATGGGAGTAAGAATTCCAAGTCAGATCAAGAACGCCGCAAGGGGATTGCTTGGACAGAGGATGAACACAGGTGAATTACTCTTCAAACCGGTTTTCCTTGGAGAGCTTTAATACTTACTGCTCTTATGTTTCATATATGCTGATTCGGCACATTCAGTGTGTTTAGATTGCCTTGGAATCGCCTAATCTGTTTGTATTTAGAATCCTTGTTTTTTATTAGTTGTTTGGAAGCTCGTGCTTCATATATGGGGGAGAGATCTTCTTGTTGGTTCTTCATTTCCTCTTTTCCAGAAAACTCGTGCCCTAATGATGATAATTACTTCTTTAAACGTCATTTGTGCGATACGTGTGCCCTTAGTTTATGTTTTGATTGCCTTGGAATCTCGTAACCTGTTCGTATTTAGAATCCTTGATTTTTTTAGATATTAGGAAGCTCTATGCGGCTTTGAAGTCGTCGATGTGTGTGAAACGCCAATAAATGAATAACATATCCAGGAATTATGGAAATAACCGAAGAGATCATGGAATTCTGATGTTACCACATGGGAGAGAGTTCTTTTGGTGGTTGTTCATTCTCTGTTTTCCAGAAAACTCGAGTCCTACTCCTACTATCTTTAAACGTTGTACGACATGTGTGCTGTTTAGTTATTAGTTTTGATTGTATCGGAATCGCCTAACCTCTTTGTTTTTGGAATCCTTGATTTTATTAGTTATTAGGAAGCTGTGAGTGGCTTGAAGTTTTTGATGTGCGTGAAGTAACCGAAGAGAACATGGAATTTCGAGTTTACCACGTGGGAGAGAAATCTTTCTGGTGGTTGTTCATTCTCTCTTTTCCAGAAAACTCGTCCCTAAAAGATAATAATCACTATCTTTAAATTTTACTTGTATGACACTTGTGCCCTTTTTTTGTATGTTTTGATTGCCTTTGAATCGCATAACCTGTTCGTGTTTAGAATCCTTGGTTTTTATTAGTTGTTAGGAAGCTCTACGTGGCTTTGAAGTCGTTGATGTGTGTGAAAGGCTGATAAATGAATATCTGGAAATGATGTGAAATAACAGAAGAGAACATGGTATTTCGATGTTACCTCGTGGGAAACTGATATGCAGGTGGTTGTTCATTTTCCTTTTTCTGGAAAACTCGCGTCTTTAAACGTTTCTTGTCTGACGCTTGTGCCCTTTATCCACTGTTTAACCGTTTAACCCGGTCTGACAAAGTTGGCATTTGAGTCGATTGCTTTCTGCTGACATATGTAGTGCTAGCTGAAGTTGATTCTGATATGGAAGGAACTGAATAGCTTGAGAAGAGTTATGCTAGAGGATATGAATTTAGTTCGTTCGGCCACTTAAAAGCGAGGCAGCAATAGCATTAGCTGTACATGTACAACTGTAATCTTTCTCCCTTAATTTTCCCAAGTTCAGCATTAGCTGTAATCTTTCCCTTAGCGAGGCAGCAATAGCATTTGGAAATCTAAAGGACAATGGGGAAAAAGGGCAAACATAGAATTCGAGTGCAGTTCTTTAGGTGTGCATATCCGGTGTCGGTTTCTGTAAATATACTACGAATGGTCTTTGTCTCAATGCTAAAACTCGAGTGGTGGTATGATGAAGACTTCACAAGCCCATGATGATGTTGAAGATTTTGAATTATTATGGGCACTCATGCTAGCGAAACGCACATGGACTTCGGTATTGCGAGATTGTTAAAATGACTCTCCGGAGCCCCACCCTAACTTAAACGATCTTCTTTAGAAGAAGTTTGTGTGAAGCCTTGGACCTTAAGTTATAGCGAAGTTAGGAGATACCCTTGAAATTTCAACAGATATATGCTGAGAAATTGTCCGAAAGAATCGTGTAGGAAGTGTTAGGTTCCAGTGCTTTTTAATATGCTTCGATTGATTATCGGCAACGGTAACGGCTAGCTTTTCTGACTGATGTAAAAAAGTACATAGGTCGGTTTGAGTTAAGTGTTCCTTGTAGTGGATAATGAGAATAATCTTATATATTATGATTTTACTGGTGTGTTTTATTTTATTTTTAATCTTGAAAATCAGGTTATTTCTTCTCGGTTTGGATAAATACGGGAAAGGCGACTGGCGAAGCATATCCAGGACCTTTGTGGTCACTAGAACGCCAACACAAGTTGCAAGTCACGCACAAAAATACTTCATTAGATTGAACTCGATGAACAAAGATCGGAGGCGATCCAGCATCCATGATATTACCAGTGTCGGCAATGGAGATATTTCAGCACCCCATGGTCCAATCACTGCTCAATCAAATGGCGCTGCATCCGTAGTTTCCGTTGGAAAACCAACCAAACAGCTTCCTGTACATCCGGGTGCACCACCCGGTATCGGTGTGCATGGTGTTCCAACTATAGGGCAACCGATAGGGGGTCCCCTCGTCTCAGCAATTGGCACACCCGTGAACCTTCCTGCCCCTCCACATATGGCTTATGGAGTCAGAGCTACTTTACCCGGAACAGTTGTTCCGGGTGCTCCGGTGACGTACCCGATGTCGCATGCATCTGCTCACAGGTAATAAGATTTGCTTAACTGCAAGCACAAGGTATGTATCATTTGTTTAATCCTAATAAGGCCATAGGGAGAGAATCTAAATGTATTTTTATAGGGAAACTATGGAAAAGTCTAATGCTAAATATGGCAGATTTATGATTAGGGCACCATTTTGGCATACTTTCTTTTATTTGCATTAGACTCGGTTGATGCATTATCACCGGAATCGTATTCCAATATGCTATTTTTTTTCTTGCATGTCGAAAATGGCCTATTCGGTTCTCGTCGTATTCGTATCATGTCTCAAACACTTATCAAATAGAGTTCTAAATGTCTCTCGTTTAATCAGAGGATTGTCCTTTGATAACCGGATGTACATTCTTGTACGTCGAACCGGAGGATTGCCCTTCGATTACTGGTCTTGTACGTTGACGAACTTGTAAATATGCCCGCCGCAGCGGTATAAAAATGAACTACACATGTTTGCAGACAGAACTGTCATGTTAATGTCATTAACATTTGAACATGTTACAAAAATGACGATAACTTCTCTTTTTCTTTTTTCTTTTTTTGAAAAATGGAAGGTGAAATTTATAATAAATAATAAATATGAAATTGATAAAAGGTCAATTGATATTGATATTACGTTTAACCAGTAGAAGAATATAAAATGTAAAAAGAAGTGAAGTTGAAACATGCAATGGAAAGCGATCTGACATTTGGGTTTCCAGGTAGGTAATTAAATCAATTGTTAGAAGTCATAGGTTCAAACACCAGTAAATGTAAATATGAGTAGATATTTATTGTTAAATGATCGAGAGTATTTAAAATTATATTATTTTATGATCATCTTAGATTAATAAAAAAATATTATTATTTTTAAGTTTAAATAAATTACATCAATTTTTAGTATTTCAATTTCAACTATATTAACAAGATTAATTTTAAGATAAATTATTATTTTTCGTTAATTTTTTTTCATCGTTCCAAATTCTGAACATATATCCATATTCTTTCAAATTTGGAAAAATTCTCAAGCTCTAAAAAGTGATAAATTTATTTTAATTTTATAAATTTTAAAGAGATTTTTTAGAAAAATATAAATCAATAGAAAGATAATAAAATAAGTTTGTCAATAACTAGGGTATCGTCGAGTTTGAAATTTTAAGAACGAGTCCGACACCCTCATCATCGTATACGTTAAATTATTTTTCTAACAAAATTCTTTAGCATATTAGAATGTCCGCCTGTTGGACCAGCACAAAACCAAGGGTTTAAACACATTGCATGATCAGATCTAAGGGTGAATAAAATTCGACTCGATGGAAGGCCCACTCTGGTCAGATCCAAAAAACAAATGGCAACACTAGATTATAAAAAAAATCGATAGATCTCCATCTAGTCTTTACAAAGCAAATTCTTTCAGTATTGAGCAGGAGAATTTATGAATGAATTTGTCATACTGTAATTACAAGTTCATGTAAAAAAATTGATTTATTTCTCCTAAATGATTCAAAAATCTGTATATGAATATGGTTATAGTCAGTGCTTCAATGGTACCTGAGAATCTTTGCAACTAGTAAGCACACAATCCTCCAAAAACCGGCTGACGTGACTTGTATATAGTTTTGGGTCATTTCTAAAATGATCAACATGCGGCGTCGAGACGAAGTTGCAGGCCAAATGATTCCACAAAATTGGCAGGGATGACTTGATCTGCAGAGCTATACATGTACAACTGTGGACAGGTAGGTTGTCCTGATGACAACACGACTAATACACCGGAAAGCCTCCTGCAAGATGATGTGAGACAGGATTGTAAGCATATAGCAGGCTTGTTTCTTCCCAGAACATCAGTTATGCAATTATAAATGGTGAAACATTCATTTGCTTGCAACCGATTTCAAGGGGTCTATTACCTGCTAACTCCTGGAAAATTCAAAACCACCTCAAAGAACTTCTCCAGGACAACCAGTAAAGCAGCTTCAGTTACTGCAGGCTTGGGTACCGAGACTACTTTTTCGCCAGCTAATGTCCCTGTATCCAATTCACTCGATACTGGACATCCTTTTGTTGCGACACTGTGTTTCTTCAGAAAAGCGGCTGAGAAACCTGATGCCCAGACCTGAAATTTCGAAAAGCTAAAATTAACAAGCATTTCAGATGTATTGATCAGAAACACAGACTCCTAAAGTAAAGCAAAAGGAATAAGAACTCTCAGAATCATGAGCAACTCCAATACAAAGACAGAGACAAATACGATGTCGAGAACTAGCAATGATATAATGTTACATAACAGAAGCCAAAGATCTAATGTATTACAATACTAGACCATATGCATGAACATAAAAGAAAGATGTACAACGTCCATTTACTAGGGAATATCCACCTAATAAAACATAATACAGCGAAACTAGAAACTTATCAACAGTCGGGTTGAATCTGGTCAATGACCATAGCTAAATTTGCATTTTCATATAAAACAAATTTCAATTCTCAACTAGCCCTAGCTAGTTCTATATGTGTCTCCATCATAATGTTCGTTAATCAAGTCAATTAGATATGTGAAACGTCTTTAAGTATCATTTACCTGAGGGTCAGGAGCTGCAACAGGGGCCGAATCCACAATGCAATCTCTTATTCTCCTCATTAAAGAAGGATCTTGCTTCTGAAACTTCTCAAGAATAACTCCATATCTGCAACAATTCCAACCCAAAAATCGGTTCAGATAATTATCATAAACAATACACATAAATGTAAGACATGCAGTTATCTTCCTTGCAAGTGTGTATCAAACATTTAAAGAGTGAAAACTCAAGTTAACCATCCAGTATTACTAAAACTATGAAAAACAAGGTTTTTCCCGTACTCCTCTTCCAACCAATCAGCTAAGTGATTAACAAGCATTTCTACATTCTGCTCGGCTTTTCCGCCAGCTTGGTAACTGATAATGTCAATCATTGGAAAGGTGAAGGTAATGACATGATAGCCTCTGGAGGTATACCACTCTGCATATCACTTGAGATGTTTCTGCTTTGATCCTAACCAGCCTAACAACACAACAACCGTTCGAGACTTTTCCGATGAACAATCAGAATTTCCATTAACATCAATGGAAGATAGCTCTGGCAAATGCCATCTGTATAAAACATCAGGGGCTGAGGCAGGGATACTGTGCTTAAATGAAACAGGCTTTGATGCTTTAGACAACTCAGGCGACTGATACAAATTTACCAGCAGCGGAGACGATACAATTGAAGAACAATGGACATTAGGTACAAAATCCCGGCCCGAATTTGGAACCGGAAAGTTAGCATTAGGGAGAGGCACTCGGATTCTAGTAACAAAAGATAAACTGGCAAGCTTAGAAGATGCTATATGACCCACAAATGAAGACTTGGTCTCTAGTAAGGAATAAGATATGGGAGTTTCAATTTGTTCTGATGTTGAACAAGTATCCGATGAAGGAGAAGGACGTTTAACAGTAAAATCGGCAGAGACCGAAGCCATGGCAACAGCGACGGCGGCGGCTAGAGGACGTTGAATCATTCCAGACAAGGAACCCATATTGAAAACCCAAAACAGAAACTTACATACCAATTTGAAGCAATCCTTAAACAAACATTATCAAACCCAATCCAAAAGTAAGAAAAAACACAAGAAAAAGGTTAAAAACAAGGATCACCTACACAGAATAAAGAGAACCCAGTTATGACCCAGAAGATTGAATCAAATGGAGAAATAGAAAACGTGAAAAAAAAAAGAAAAAGGAAAAAAACAAGCGATAAACATAATGCCAAGCAAATAAGCATATTCTATGGTTTATAGCTGTGCATATTCCTTGCTATATTCTCTTACCTTGTAAATGGAAAAGAGTTTGACAAAGAATCGGGCTGTCAAAGAAAATTGACAGCCCGATCAATTATCAAACACCGACCAAGAACCTTCCTTTGCGTTGTAGCCCTACTGCAAGAAAAAGAAATTCGATTCAATAAAAGATAGCCACAAATTATGCAATGTGATTAAATTTTTAGATAAAACTTGAAAAAGGAATAAACTAAACGTCAAGAGAAAACTAAAATAAAAAAAGCGCGTGCTTAAGATGTTTTGGAAAATCAGCATACTTCAAATATATCTAATAGTTGAATGCCACGTGTCTTTTTACCCATGCTTGACAAGGATAAATAGATAGCTATGACGTAGGAGTTCAACAACCATTAGATATATTTTATTTTATCAAAATTTAAAATTAATATTATTAAAATATTATTTATTAATTTTTGACTAATAATATATCAAATAATAATTTCTATAAAATAAATATAAAAAAATATAAACCTAATATGAAAGATATAAAAAAGCAATAGAAATATATTAAATGACCATTTTACCCTACTAATTCTCTGTTCTTAAGACGCTACCTAAATAACGGGAAAGCATTGTTTTGAAAATCGGACTAGACTGGTCGGTTGAACCGGGAACCGTATGTTAGACTGGTTCAATCTAAACCGGTTGAATTGTTACTAGTGAACCGGCCAGAACCATTAAACCGTTTAAATCGGACCGGCTGAAAATCGGAAATTTTGTTTTTTTAAAAAAAAATTAAACCAAACAACGTCGTTTGTTAAACGAGCCAAGTCGAACTCGAGTATTACTAAGCTCGACTCGAACTTGAAAACTTTAAAAGTAAGCTCAACTCGACTCAAACTCACAAGCTAAAAATTATCAAGTTCAACTCAAATTCGAAATATAATATTGAAACTTGAACTCAAAAAGGCTTGCACTAAAAAAAATTTAAAAGCTCGATTGAAGCTTAAAATTCGAGTTTGATTGAAGTGAAAGAATAGTTCACTCAATGCTTACCAAAAGGCTCCATGATTTTAAATGTCAAATTACCTCTATAATTTATTGAAGTTAGTTGTGATGTTCTTCTATGTTTCTTAGCAATGTGAGATTATTTTGTTCTCATATTTTCTCTTTAGACTTTTGGGATGCTCTTCTATGTTTCTTAGCCACGTGAGATTGTTTTTAAAAAAAATTAAACCAAACAATCATTTTGTTATGATTTTTTTAAACCCCAAATTTATTTTTATAGTTATATAATTATATTTATTATTTAATATGTTTTACCTTAAATATTATATTGTAGTTAATTTGAATCATTTGTTTCACTTGATTTTATGGTTTTTAATTTAATTTTTAAATAATTATGACGTCGTCCGATTCTTCCAATCGGTTAAATCGATTCGATCAGTTGAACCAATGAATCGATAGCATAACCGGTTCGCTAACCGGTCCGGTTCTGAAAATCATGCGGGAAAGGTTTACCTGGATTTATTTCTCCCCATTTCTGGGAAGGTTAAAAGAGGAATAAATTGTTAGGCTAGGGGTAATATAGCAAAGTCAACTTAAACGTACGCAAGTGCCCCCAAAAAAAAAGAATCTTTTGGATCATTGGACGTAACGTCTTCAACTTACGAGAAGAAAGAAAAGACCCGTAAAATTGAAAACCGGCACTACGGCTGCCGTGTCTGGTGGTAGGCTGCGAGTCAATGAGACCGCGACTCGGCTGGTTGAACTCAGTAACCAACCAAGAACACGATAATCGTCTTCGCCATTCATTATTAAATGATTTCAAAAAAATCAAAGCGTTTTTTAAATCCACAAACGAATTTGCAAAACCCGATTTAAAAACTGAATCGATAAATGTTTTGCGTTTATTGAAATCAAACGCCGAAGGCAAAATGAAGGCAATGGAAAAACAAAAACCAAAGAATAAGAAAGAGAAAAGGGAATAGGAAGTCACTTGAAAGGAGATGGTAAAGCGAGTTGGGATCGGTTGTTGAGTACTTATTTGAATCGATTTGGGGTTTGGGTTTTCGTTTTTCATGACGGAAATAATGCGCCCCCTCTCACTGTAAAAGTATATTTCTGTTTTTATGTTTCTAAATATCTTAAATATAAGTATATCCAACTCAACTTTAACTTTTATTAGATTTTAAAAATAGTTCTAAAATATATTTAGATATTAATTTTTTAAAATTTATTAAATAAAGTATTTTTTTAAAAAAATAATCTTATAAAACTAAATGATTTCATATTTATTTGTAATCACATATTATAATCAGATTTGTTCATGGGTTATCTGTCTGAAATTTAGCGTTAGATTAAAAATTGTAAAAAATTATCACTAGAGCAATTCTTCTTATCTTTTTTTCTTATTTGCAAAAGAATTAAAACTCGTGATATTATTTAAAAAACCTAACATTAGATACACATTGATCATAAAACATTTGTAGTCTTCGATCCGGATTAATCGGCCGTCAGATATAGATGACTGTACTAAAATGCAAAAGATGATTCAATGCTCTTTATAAGTAACAAACTCCATGCTGTAACTTTCCATTGATCAGCAGCATGAACAAATCAATAACATCATTGAACAACAAACGAAGAATGCACCAATGTTCACTAATGACATAATCAACCAAATTCAAAATTACAGAATCAGAGTGACTCGACGAAGCCAATTACATATCAATACGTATACTCTACTTGTTAGTCATCTAATACCTTCATCAAGAAACGAACTGCTGCACAACACCTCTCTTCCAAAAAACATTCAAGAAATATTAAAGATAAACATGCTGCAATATGTATCATGCCTTTAGATAAACATGGATCTTAACTCTAAATTTCCAAAAAAAAGAAATACATGAATCTAAAGCCCTAACTTTCCAAAAGTTACAACTACAGCACATATGGTTTTCTGTACTAAACTCGAAAAAATTATTGAGCATCCGAGCGCACACTTGTCCTTCCTTCCAACCTCATTGCTCGTAATATGTGAGTGTATTTTAGAGACGCGTTCACCAGGACACAAACCTTCAATCAACTGAAAGCACGCTGAAGATTCATTTGAAATGAAACCAGTGAATAAATTTTAAGACTCGTTCAGAAATATTTTTGAGCCACCTAGCTAATCGATACAATCAAATGAAAGCAACTCTTGGGAGAGGAAAACATAAATCATTTCCAACAGTAAAGAAGGGGATATGAATCCTATATTCAATAATTTAACTGGTAAAGAAATACAGCCCTAATATAGGTATGGTCACTGCACTCAAACACACATGATGGACTTTCCCGAAATGAACTTAAAAATATGACATAAACTAAACGTGATTAACTCTCAATTCGCCAAATTCAATACCCAAGACCTGAGAATTTTGAGAATAATCATAACAAGAAAAATCTACACGATCCATCTCTAGATGGATATGCGTTGTGTCAATAGACACTCTACATGTTACTGGTTTATGTTCTCCAACTAAAAGAGCACAATTCTCGTAAGAACCATCTTTTGGTGGTAGATTTAGCAAAGAAGATTTTGGAGCTGACACCCTTTGTGTATTGCTAGTACTAGTTAAGTTTTCCCGGTCTTCAATCATTAATAACAAACGATGTGGGCGGCCTAGAAGCTCCGACACGTATTTCATGTCACCTTCAGCTAGAGCACGTCGAACACGGGTAGAAGAAACTTGTCCTCTCTCTTTTAAATCATAACAATTCATATTTCTGACATTCTGGTGCCTGTCCATGACAGAATTTATTATGTAAGCACCCATACCAAACTCATCACACAATCTCACCAATTCTGAAGCACCACCCGCAGCTTTATAGCCGAAGCGATAGTTTTCACCTGTGGCAATTAGCCATTGAAACAACCTATTTTAAAATATACGGATTAAGCTTTTACTTGATAATTTTGATACAAAGAAGAGTACTCTAAGAGTTGTCACAGCTTTTAGCATACCTGCCACAACTCCACAAACTCCAAGCTCCTCCGCTAACTTCTCCACAAACTGCCTCGGACTAAGATGCCTAACACTTGTAAATTGTATCTGGAATTCCTTGGGAGCCACATTACCACAATATGGAGCCCAAGAGGAAAGAACACGCTCACGATCGCATCGGGCAACTATGGGAGGCCTGTTGAAACCATACATGGCTTCATTAGAACCAAGTGAAAATAGCCAAAGGCTTAAAAGCATTACACAAACTTTATAGTATATGTAGATATATAAACTTTACCTAGGCTCCCAACCAAGGACTTCAGCCATTCCTACAAATGATAAAAGATATGGAGCTCCAACCTTCGATGCTTGAATTGCAAGTTCTCTATGACCGATATGAAGAGCATCAAACTTTCCCAACGCAACGATCCCCCCTGATGTATTAATGCCAACAAATAGCATAAAAACACTAACACATAAAGCAAAAAATTATGGTAAAACAGAAGTGAAATAGTAGAACACAAAAAAGAAACCTGCCACTGCGGATAATACTTCAGAAGGCTTCTCATGATCATCTTCTTGTTGGCTTTACAAAAAATAAAATCATTTAGTTTCCTAACTAGATATTTAATCTAAAAAACAGATCCCTATATCAATATTTTCGTTAAAACTACAGTTTTGTTATGCTCATACTTGAATAACTTAATCTTTATACTACTGGGACAAATATCAATTGTTGGGTGTTCGTCCATTGTGACAATACTTTACAGACTTCTCCAGAAGCAGTCGGAAGATCCCAAGACAGACCCCTCATATTGCTAAATTTTAGAAAGTTCATGTCAGTATTTTGAACTGTTTTTCCTAAATAAGTTGATCCAATTTCAAAAACTAATTAAATAAATTGATTGAATTTTTTTAAATGAAGCAAACAGCTGAATAGGTAACATAAGGGAACCTGAAGATTATAACAAATTTTACTGCTAAAAAATTATTAAAGGAAAAAGAACCTGAAGGAGTCGGGGAGAAAAGGAATGTCGCCGGAGGGTTTGGACTGGAGACTGGAAGAAGAAACAAATCGGGGATGGAATCGATGAATATGGAAATTATTGACAAACAAGACGGCGGAGGCAGAGGAGGAGGGAAGTTTAACCAAGAAAGAAGATGAGAGCTGCAAGATTCCGGTGGAGCAAAATCCTAACCCCGAATTTTGATGAGATATGCGAGAGCTGCTACGAGCCAACATTTTTGTTCGAAGATAAAAGTATTATTTATTGTTTTGATGTTTCTATTTATCTTCTTCCGCCACTAGAACTGGAACTACATCGTACTAGAAGAAGAAGAGGAAGAAGCAGAGCAGCCGGGTAGGGCTTTTGCGGCTTTGCGCTTTACACCGTTATGTTATTTGGCGTTGGGGCCAACCTTCTCTTTTTATGAGAGAACTACTTGAATAGTCAATAAACTATAGTGTTGTTTCTATTTTAACCACCAAACTAAAAAAGTTATCAATTAAATTATCGAAATAGTTTTAATCGTGTCTCTATCTTTAAATTAAATTTTAACGAAAATTTAATCATTTATGTCACCATTTTATTAGATAATTAAATTTATTAAATTATATTATATTTAAAATTAAACTAATAGCCTGGGTAAATAATAAGAACTAAATGTATAATTGTACATATTTATTTAATTATCATATTAATATTTTTCATTAAGCACAATGGTTTAATTAAAATTATTTTAATAATTTAATTAATAAAATATGAGATGATAAAGATAAACGGTTTAACCAATTGACTAAATGTACTTGTTCAATCGGATAGATAATAAAACACAAAATAAAAGACATAATTTATTAGAAAAATGCCATGTGACATGTTAACTATAATGAAATAAAAGCTTTCTTAACGAGTAGGGGTGTTCATTCGGTTAATTCGGTGGCCGAACCGACCGAATTACCATTTTCGAATTAACCGAACTTTTTTTTTCTTTAACCGTTCATCGAACCGAACTTTTTTTCGAAAATATTAACCGAACCGAATAAATTTCAGTTAATTCGGTTAATTTTTGAATTAACCGAAATTTTTCAGAATTTTAGAATTTAATATTTTTTTAATTAAAAAAACAATTTACAATTAATTTAAATAATATCTAATTATAAATAATATCTAATTAATTTGATTCAAACATTTTGCATTTAGTTTTGATATTATTTTAATTAATTAATATTGATTTGGGTTTTAAATGAATTTTAAATGAATTGGGCCTCTTAATATAATTATATTTAAAGGTTAATTCGGTTAATTTGATTAATTAACCGATTTCGAAAAGAAATAACCGTTAACCGAATTCCAAAAAAATCCTTAACCGTTCCCCGACCGAATTAATTCGGTGGCTGACCGAATTAACCGAACTAATTCGGTTCGATCGGTTAATTCGGTTAAAACCGAATTTTGAACTAACCTACCATCGGTTATTTATGATTTTTCTCTATATTTTACAAAATTTTAAAAATACCCTCTTTATTTTAAATTGTCAGAATTTTACCCTCATACTTTGAGAAAATTAGAAAATTAATCCATTTATTTAAACGCATGAGCTTAGTTGATTGAAGTGTGAATCAAACCTAGTGCAAACAGCATAGTTATAAATTATCTCTTGACATGGAAAATGATTGCAAAAATTTGATTATTTACCTCCTAAACATGGAAAACCCGCAACACTATCGAGTCCCGGAAAACAAAATCCGACTGCATGATAACTCATTATGAATACCAATCCGGTGATTCAACGTACACACCGATCATTGGTCTACTATGCAGGAGAGGAGGCTGGCTGCTCTTCGGTGAAAAACGGGATAGGTTTTGTTGGACCAGGCAGGCGTCCTATGCTGTCAACTTTATCCTTCAACTTCGGAGGAGGCCTGGCTGGTTTCGGCAGCAACCGGCCCTTCTTTTCGAACCACTCGGGTTTGAGGAGAGCTCTCAACCCTAATTTGTTATAATGTACTCTCCTCACAGATCCACCTGCAGCTTCAACTGCTTCCTTTGCTCTAACGACACCTGAAAATTTCAACAGTAAGACCAATAATTTTCTTCAGTCGGTTCACAGAAAAGAAATCTTATCAATAAATGACTGAATCGACACTCGGAATCTAAAATGTTCACCCACTTCAACATCACAGAACATTTTTTAACTGGCACAGGGAAACAGAAGTAGAATTACGAGTCTGATTAACCTATATGAAACTAGAATCTACATAAGACAGCACCAGTTGAAGTTTCGGTCATCATACAACCAGAATCGATAAATGCATTAGATGATGCAAGGTTCTTTTAATTATTCTAAACTGACATAAATTAAATCCGAAAAGGGCTAAGAAGAAATAAGTCAGTAGTATAACATGAAGAACGATTTCAGACAAATCTTTTACCTCCATATGAATCGGCCACTTGATCTGCTCGGCACCACGACCCATCAACCTGACCCCATCCTCTATCTGTTTCCCAATGGCCCCAGCATCCTACGTAAAAGCAATAATCGGTGTGAACATTGCCCTTAAAAGGTGATTTAAATTTGGATATCAGAATTACGAGTTAACTCTACCTTGAGAGTCTTCATGGTGATCAATTCATGAGAATCAATCTTCCCAGCATTTATTAGTTTGGCTATCTTTCCCAATCCTACTGGCTGCCAGAGAAGGAATACATTTGGCTATCTTTCCCAATCCTACTGGCTGCCAGAGAAGGAATACACAAGTAATTTAACAAAAGAAGAAAAACTCAAATAAAACAAAACGGGAATTCCGAATAAAACGGAAAATTTAGAAAGAATATTCTAATTATACAAGTAATAAAAAATAGAGCACACATTTTGTCATTGTCATAAACATCAACACACACAAAACTACTCGAATACCACCCACAGCATATCTAGCAACAAGCATTCAAGATAATCAATACATAATTTTCCATCTTGTATAACACCATATTTGAGACCTGATGGTAAGAATTTAAAAAATAATACCAAATAAACATAAGCTCCTTAGACGATTTTTGGAAAATTTAAACCGATATCCCAATATCCGGCAGCAATGACAGATCAAAACTCGAAACTATCAAGCTACAAGAACTATATTCTATTCGTTTCCAACTTGCCACAAAAAAGAAATAATTCAAAATGCAATTATATCTGCCGGTTCACTTTCTAATTTCCCTATCAATTTCGTTTCTATTCAATAATCATCCCCGTGCTCTCCTAAAATAGAGAACTTACAAGAATCAAATGAACATAACAAAAGCTCGGATTTATAGGGAGAAAAAAAAAAGAAAAAATGGTACCTGAAAAGTGAGGCTAAAAGGGTTCTTAAAGCCGCGTTTAGGCAAGCGCCGCCGCATCGGGGTCTGCCCTCCTTCGAATCCCAACTTGCCATTACCTCTAGGACTAGGCCTACCTAAGTCGTGCCCACTCTATGCCTAAAAATAGGGTAAATTGCTCATGTAGTCACTCACTTCTTATTTAGTTTATATTTTTATCATTCAACTATTATTTATTTTAAATCATATCTAACGTTGCATTTTGGTTCTGTTTTGGTCACCCGTCTTTAAAAATTAAAGGTGATATTAACGTGTTATCATAAGATAATGTCACATTAGGATAAAAAGTAATTAAAAAATATCATGTTATCATTATTGTTAATATCTTAACAGTATGTGATCAAAATAAAACTAAAATGTAACCTTATGTATGATTTAAAAAAAATAATTGAATGACCAAAATATTGATTAAGTAATAGGTGAGTGACCAAATAGGTAGTTTACCCTAAATAAAAATATGCATTTTGTTAAGAAAATTATATTGCTCTAATTATTATATTTTTTTCAGATTTAATATATTATATATATATATATATTGTTATATTTTTAAATTCGCCGTTGATCAGAATGACTAAACAGTCGCGCAAAGCACGAGAGACACTGTTTTATAGCCGCTCCACATAAACAACAGCCACCAACGGCAACTCGCGCAATGGACAGCCTACGGCCAACCGGAAGCGCTTTGTGAACGTATTGCCAACCGAACATACGAACTTGAGGTAAAGTTGGTAGACGTGATAGGTATAGCCACAGCGTAGAAGTAGGAACAACGGTGAAGGTTCAGCGCATGAGCCGATTTTAGATGCAATTAAAAGGGTCAAATGTGTATTTAAGCCAAAGCAAACACTGGGGTGGATGTTAACAAAGACTTCCTTTCCGGTTGAAAGAAAAAACTGCTTGGAAAATTAATTACAACAATAATATTAGTTATAGGGACTTTTGATAGCCCCCATAGTCAGTGGTAGAGCGTCAGTCTTGTAAACTGAAGGTCTGTTGTTCGGTCCTGCATGGGGGAATTTTTAAGTTATCTTGGATTCTGCATTTTCTCACGTATGCATTATTTTTGTCTGTGTATGTTACAGAGTCATCAAACTCATAAGCTCTGGCAGTTGCAGCAGCAAGCAAGAAAAGATCAGCCTAAGGGACTTACTTAAGGCGGCTCCCAAAGCAGATGAAAGGGCGGGACGCCGGAATAACCAATGCACCATAAAGCTACGCATTTAAAGAACTATCATCTTCAACGCTAAGCTATCTGTCATGTAGCAGAAAAGAAACTAATCATTTTCCAAACTCCAATAGCAACTCAAAGGTTTCAGACCACAATCATGTATATGTGGGGCACATTCGACAAGTGATAAGATTCAACTCAATTATCATTGCTAGATTCAAATGCTAACCTACAGCACACAGCAGCGAAGAAACTAATCATTCTTGAACACCATTAGCAACATAAAGTTCCAAACCTCAATTATGCCTAATCAAGCACAATTCACAAGATTCAACTCATATCCAACGTCCATCGTTGCTGGATATTAAATGCTAAACAATATCAAACCAGCAGCAAAGAAACCTATGATTCTCCAACACCATTAGCAACTCCAAGTTTCAGACTCAATTATGTATACATAACTAAGCACAATCCGAAACTTTAAGATTCAACTCACATTGCTAGATCATGAATACTTCAAAGTTCACATTCAAGTTTACAAAGCTTATTTCAACATGAAAAGCATAAAGAAATCAACAATTCATAAACCCTTATTCTGGAAAAAAATGACAAATCACAAAAGAAATCCCCAAACTCAGCAAAACCTCAAACCACCAAAACCATAATTCTTGATTCACCTCTCCTCTGGCATGAACCCTCAAAATCCTAATCAGCCATGAGATGGAAGTGCTAGGCAAAAACCCTACTTTGAATACATTTCATCATCCATGCTAAAGAGGCCCTAATTCCCTAATCTCCAACTAAAACTCAACTTACACAACCACACGCTTAAAGCAGCAACCATATACAAACATTCATAGAATCTATAATATATAATATATATATATATACACACTCCCAAACGACGAGGGTAAAGTGCTCCACCCGAATTCAATTAGGATACTCGCCTCTCTGATCTGAACTTCCCGGATTACTCGACAAAGATGCTAACAAATTCAGATGCCCGGGTAGATAATTTTCAACCCTCTTCGCCGACACTTCTCCCATTGCTTGCTGTTGTTGAACGAACAACGCGGCAGCAGAAGGTGGCTGAGCAGGTTCCGCAGCGGCTGCATTAGCAGTATGAACAGCAATCTCTGGCGGAGGCGCGAAGCTCCATACTTGTTGACCATAGTCGGGCCTTACTGGAAGAGCCCAGAACCGACCTGCGTGTCCTAAAATGGATCCCATATCTGGTCCCATCGTGATCACCCCGGGACCGTCCTTCCCGGCGTTACCATCTTCGAACCTTACCCGTTTCCCAAGTATAAAACCGGCGGGGCCTACTAAAGACTTATGGTCCAAAGACGTCGTCGTTGACGACAGAGAAGTGGAATCTCCTCGACCGCGGACGGAAGCCAACACGGTGGAGAAGTTTGCGGGAATCGTACCGGTACCGGTTGCGGTTATAATGGAGGGTTCGGCTTGGCGTAACAGCCACTCGATGGTCTGACCGTCGTATTTGTGACCCAACTCACGAGTCAACTGGAAAACACGAGCCGCAAAAATGATTGGCATCCTGATCCTTCGCCCACGGCCGTCCACTTTGCTGTGACGGTCTTTGGTCGGAGGCTTTTTTGACGGCGAGGGAACCATTCGCCGGCGCTTGTCGTACCTTGGGGGTCCGTAATGGCTCTGTTTGTAGCAACATCATCTGAATTTGAAATGGGCGGAACGAGAGACTGCTGCAGAACTCAATTCCCTTGCTTTCTCAGCGGGGTTCGTTTTGATATACTAAAGATATTTTATCCGCTGTCTCGGATTTATTGCAGCTGATAATCTCGACGTCAATGGTGTCATTTTCTTTGGTTAGGCTTAAATGCAGTATTATCTCTTAAAATATGATATTTGTACTGAGTTATTCAAGTATTTTTAAAGATATTTTGTCTCCTTAAATTTAAATGATTACTTATTTATTTTAAATCGTTAAATCCGTTTAAAAAACACATAATTAAATTATATATTTAATCACTCTATTACCTCCTACAAAAATCACTAAAGAGCCTGACTCGATAGGAATACTCGAATGAATCGTGCCCGTATCCCATTGATTCTGTGATTCTCCAAAAGTCTTCTTCTCATTCATATTTTTCCTATTTATACCATTCTATTTTGATTATTTGACTATTTTTTCTAAAAAAATCATTAAATACGAACTATCTTTGTCACCGTTGTACAAGTTCACTAAACTTAAAGCCGAACTGCCATAGACGAGGACAAAACCGGTGAAGAAGACAGATCAATAATTTTTTTAAATAAAAAAACTTAAATTTAGTGATGATTTAAAAAAATAGTTGGAAGATCAAAACAGAATCACATGAATAGTAGTGACTAAAGGTGTAATTGTCCCATGTGGTTTTTTATCGGAGATAACAAACGATATAATAATTTAAATTTTGTAAGACAAAACATCCCGAATAATATTTTAAAGGACAACTCGATACAAATCACAAACTTTAATGGACAATAGTCCATACAAGCCTTTTTAGTTAATTAATTATCAATCAATGCAAAATCTTCTTATAGTATTATTTATCTTATATAAAAGAAATTATATTTGATGCACTAATCATGTATAGAATCAATACATGATTGAAGGATATAATGATATCATATTATCATAAGAATTTAAAATTAAATTTCTAAAATTTATTTCATATAATGAGTTATAATCTTATCACTAATAGTACATACATCATCAGCGCAACAAATACAAAAACCTATATAAATGATTGATTGAATTAATATCATGAATTAATCCAATATCAATTCAATTAAAAATTTATAAAAATGTTTTTATCAAATTCAAGAAAAAATTATGATAATTACACTTTACTAATTATCAAATTCAAAATTTTATTATAAGTTGATGGGAGTGGGGAACACAATTGAAGCCACAAAAGCATCAACATGTGAAGCAAGGTCCACTTGGTTTTGGGGCTGTTACTGAAAGGGACCATGGGCACCGGCAGGACATCAGTAAATTCCATCTTTTCCCTTTTCATCATCATGAAAATGTGATACAATTAGATGCTACTACAATTATTGTTATAATAGTAAACATGCCAAATGAAAGGTTTTATACCCGGCACCTATATTACTCATTATCCTTCTAAACCTTTTTCCGAACCCACAATTTCGGAATTACTACCACAATAACGATATCAACTGACCTAAAACTCAATCGGCACCAAAGAAATGATTAGCACCTACAAGAATAACAATTGTTTACTTTGCCCTTTAGATCGTATCGTATTCACCGACCACCGCAATTAAATAAAAAAATATAGTTTTAAAAAAGTATATGTGAGCTGCCTGTACTCGGAATCCAACAAAAACCGAAACTGAATCAAACAACACAAAAGCTATTATAAGGTACCATAGCCTTTCCAAGCACTAAAGGCAGGGTCACGAGATGAAGTGATAGCAAGCCTCATATTCCTATGTAACTGAAACCATGGAAACATACTTTAGAACATTTACCTTTCTACATTTACTTCACTGATGGTGGTTTGGTTATGTCCTGCGAACGATTTTTCGGAGCAGCGGCTCTGTTTTTCAAGTAGTAATAGTTTGCTGATATAAAGGGGAAGAAAATAAGTAGGGATCAAATAATCTATACACCAACGTATGAAAGATTAAATGTAGCTTGTCATAGACAAACAAAGCAGTTAAATTTTCAGATGTACATATAATACTCAATACCAAAACATTGATCTCAGTTCTCCATGTTTACACACAACTCCCATACCCAAACTCTGAAAGTGGATGTTCTATCACAATGTCACGTGAAACAAATGTCGGTATTTTGTTGCATTTTAACCTGCCAAAAATCAAATCCAAGTAAGAATG